AGGAAAACGGTCGAGCCTCACATGGCAGAGCAGGCTGGCAGGGGCCAGAAGAGGGTACACACACAGACACACATTGGGTTCCACAGCGAGAGTTCCACACACACACACTGACAAACACAAACACACACACACACAAACACAGACAGACACACACACACACACACAGTTTCGCAAAATGGATTTTGTCATACATCTATACACACGCACACATACATATATTACACAGAGATACACACACATTGTACATGTGTACACATACATTGCTCCATACATCGGGGTCCACGCACTGGTATCATGGCATTTCTTTGCGCCGTCGTCTCATTGCTGTCGGCCTTACTATGTTATTGCGCTCCCGATGCCACAGCCCGAATGAATTACAACGAACTCACGCCCCCGAATCCACAATCTCATGTCACTTATCTTACAACACAATCGCGCTCCCTAGGCCACAACTTCAACTAACTTACAACGCGCTCGCGTCCCCGAAGCCACAATCCCTTTCTAATCACTACGCTTCCGCGCTCCCGAGGCTACACCTTCGTAAAGTATACGAACTTCGCGCTCGCGAGACCCCAACCATTGTAAAGTGCAAACAACTCGCGCTCCCCAGGCCAGAGCCTCTTACGAATTATGACGCATCCGCGCTCTCGAGGCCACAATCCTTCATAATGATTCGCGCTCCAGTAGCCACAACCCCTTCTAAATTTCAAAAAGCTCGCGCTCCCGAGACCACGAAGCAACTCGGCGGAACCTGTCCAGAAGGGCGACCCTCTCCAGGGCTGAAACGCGCTGATTTTCTGTTTGGGGTAAATACTTGGCGGGCGCGTTTCCCCCCCCCCCACCACCACACGCGTCCTGATAATTCGGCGGCGTTGGGTCCAGAGCCGCGATCCTCTAAAATAACGACGGATGCAAGGAACCCTAAGAGAGTTCCAACCGCGCGAGGCTGCCCAAGATGGCCTCAAGCAAGTCCTAGCTCTTCCAAGAAAAGCTCCAACACACAACATACAGAGACGCTTAAAGAAGTCAACAAACATTCAACAGGAACTTCAAAATCTAAATATGTTGTGTTGATCGCCAGACGTCCTCGCATTATGCTCCTTTATTGTTTCACGACGGCGCCTAGGCATCCCAATGTAGCTCCGATCTATCAAATTCTGGTAGAGGGAGCCGACAGCAGAAGGCGAAGCCTTCAGGGGTATACTCAGCACCGACAACACATGTGAATACATACATGTATGTATATGTATAGAGAGAGCGACGTTGCTATACATCTGTACATATGTATATACATGTATGTGTATGATTATGTGTATAAGTATCTGAAAATGTAAATGCCACGTGGGCGCGTGGAATATGACTGGATCCGATTGGGATCCGAAGAAAATCATAAAGCATCCTGCGAGAAACTTACAGAAAGTCATAGGCGCCCTTAGGAAATCCCACGAGATTGGAAGGAATCCCCATTGGAAATCCAAAAGACATGTGAAGGAATCCGAAGGAATCCGCAAAAAAAAAGAAACGAATCCCAAGGAATCCTAAAGAAACCTTCGGATAACTTGAGGAATCCTCCGGAATCCTCCTCATCTTCCTCTTCACATGAGAACTGCATTGCAAACCCAATTCGGAACCCAAATTGATGAGGTCTGCGCATGGAGTAGCGCACGCCCGAATATCGCCCCTGGAACGCACTCTTAACTCCAGAACAGACAGCAGAATAACTCATTCCCGGGCGTGGGCGCGGGAAACTATCCGAGTAGAACCCCATTGGGGTCATATTGGAATACCAGTGGAACCTTACAGGGGTCTGAATGGGACCCCATTGGGATCATGGTGAGATCTGAGTGGAGTCCTTTTGGGATCCAATTTGAATCCAATTGGGATCCTGTCGGAATCTTAATGGGATCCTGCTTGGAGGAGGAGGGGGGGAAGGGCGCCCGGTACCAGAGTCTCGCTTCCAAGGTGCGGGATGCGCTACATATTCACCCGAGTGTGGGGGGGGGGCATCCTTGATATCTTCCGAGGGTTACCCAGCAAGAAAAGACGCCATATTCTAGTTCACCGACCCTCTCGGCTGAACAACAACATGAACAAATGATTGCAATAGGCTGGAACTTTCTTGTGCCGCCGTCAGCTCGACCATCATAGCTGTTGCCAAGTCAACCCGCTTCTTCGGTGGCAACACATGGGAGCCTCCCATACCATCTTGCTGGCTCTTGTGAATCGACGCTCATCGACGCTAAACGACGCTAACCGACGCTAAATCGACGCTAATCGACGCTATCCGACGCTAAATCGGCCCTATCTCATCGACTCCCAGACGCCAATCGACGCTAATCGACGCTAAAGATGGAATTAAGAGGGTACACCAGGCTCCCATGATTTGGCACCGAACGCTTCCCACTTGCGCGGTCCCTATGAGGACACGCTCCAGGAGCTTGAAGGCATCCGCCACGGCGAGCCACTGCTCCGACGCAGAAGCGCGGCCCGATGTTCCCGCCTTCGGAGCAGAAGCGATGCGGGGAGGAGGAGGAGGAGGAGGAGGAGGAGGAGGAGGAGGAGGGGGGAGGAGGAGGGGGAGGAGGAGGGGGAGGGGGAGGAGGAGGGGGAGGGGGGAGGAGGAGGAGGGGGAGGGAACCGCCCCCGCCCCCAGAGAGCGCAGTCCTTGGTCAGCGCAGCAGCTTCGCTGCCCCAGCGCTGCGGCGGGCTAAGGCTCGGGCTCTGGCCGTCATCAGACGGTGTGGGCTCTCGAAGCGGTCGGCCGAGCGAAGCGAGTGGTGGGAAGACAGCAATAGATCGGCGGCAATAGCTAATGACAACACCTGATCTCTATGGGAAAACAAACGCTTGTGAAACAACATTCGGTTTTGAAAACTCATGCTCGGAAAATCGTCGGGCAGGCACGGCAGAAGGGCCTGGAGAGGGGGGATCGCCATGGGGCACTCAAAATAGTGACGAACGTGGTCTCCTCCAACCGCTTGACAGCCGAATCGACAACAGATGGGACCTTGCTTAAAGCGGCCTGTCGTACTCCACCCGTTGAAGATGGCACGAAATACAGCTATGAGAACAAACTGAGGAAGATGACGAGAGATAATACCAAGGTGCAAGAAGCAGGTGTCAACATCTTTTGGCTCGAGCTCGGGATCGAAGTGTTTCAGCCTGGCACCTAGATACATAGTAATAGGAGGAAGACGCTGAGCAGCAGTAAGATACTTCGTAACTTTAGCTTGAAGATCAGACGTGGTATGATTGTAGAAGTTGGGGATAGAATTGAGACTGTCATGCACACGCTGCAAGTGATTAAAGAACGAGTACTGGTACCACTCGGGGTACCTCTGCACAAGAACATGTTCATCAGATTCACAGGCCTCGGCATACAAGGTACGACAACTATCAAAAACAGAGCTCCGTTCGGCCACTCGAAAGGCAGCGGCTCGGCATTCAATCTCAAGATGACGGGGCTGAATTTCGATGAAGATGTCTTTGGCATGCTGGATCAGGGCGGGGGCGAACGCATGGCGGGGACCGTTAGTGAGGGTCTGATGGGCCTCTCGAACAGCTGTGAGTACTTTTTGGGACGGCGGCAAGAACTGGCCCACGTACATCAGCGTGGGAAACGCGAGCAAGTTGTAGGCCGCGAAGCTGGGGATAAAGCCAAGCCCAAGATTTTTTATGTGCGTAACCCGTCCTTTGAAGGTGCCCAGCGGACCATCCCAGGAAACTTCAGGACCAGGGACTCCAAGGAACAGCCCAAGATACCGACCAGAACGAACGATTTTGAACTTCTTACAGGTAATTCCAACTTCTTTAAGCCTCCGAAAAACTTCAGCAGCAGGAATATCTTTAAAGAAAACCAGGACGGTCTTCTCGAGACTCAAGAAGAGGCTGGCCGCCCGAGCAGCTAACACAAACTCGTGAATCAGCAGCGGGAAGACCTGAAAGAGGTCACGAGCGACAACGCCTATGTCGTCAGCAAAGACACAAAGCCGTGAGGGAGAAACCCGAGTAGCGAAAACCATCCGACGAACGATCGGGTCAAAAACCAGGGCCCAAATCGTCCCAGAAAGCGGACAACCTTGTTTTACTCCTCTCAGGCATTGTATCAGACCATACCTCTTGCCACGAAAGACCACACGCATGGTCATGTTACTGTAGAGGGCCTGCAGCATGGCAATGACAAAGCTAGGCAACTGCATCGCAGTCAGGATGGCAAAGAGGAACACGTGCGAGATGGAAGGGAAGGCGCTCGCAATGTCGAACATCGCGTCGCCAGCATTATCAAAGCCTTCCACACTGCCCCAGACAAGGCCATGGGCTTCCATCTCAATCAGGTTGTCAACAATTTGGCGCCCTCGAACAAAACCCCTCTGCTGAGTATGAGCGGTGATTTCAACAATATCACGAAGAAAACAGTTGAGCGCCTTGGAGATGATTTTGTTGTCGGAGTTGCTCAGACTGATCGGCCGAGTCGTGTCAGCCTCTCTGCGTACCAGAATATCTCTCGCGCTCTCACACTCAATCGGGCAGGAACCAAAGGCGGCCTCAGGCGTGAGGAGGCGGCATGCGGCGGTCGGCAGAGGCGTACGGAGGCATCTGCACCTCCTCGTCGGCAAGGAGGCCCCACTTGATGTAGTCCTCTGTCTCGGCTGCTTTGTACTCGTCGCTGAGGGAGACGACCCTCTCGCGGGCGTGGTCGAACTCGTCCAGGCTGTCCATGCGGGGAGGAGGAGGAGGGGGAGGAGGAGGAGGAGGAGGAGGAGGAGGAGGAGGAGGAGGAGGAGGAGGAGGAGGAGGAGAAAAGGAGGAGGAGGAAGGGGGCTGGCTCTGTTCTGGCGCCCACGCGCAGCACAGTGCGGCCACCAAGAGCCCGCTTCCTCTTACTCGCGAGAACGCCCGCGACCGGCCCCGCACGGCCCCCTCTAGACAAGCGCGCTCCACTAATTACTCGCAAAGCAACTGCTCGCAAACGGCCTCAATCCGCCGCGGGGGAGTTACGATACATTACATCGGGGCGAACAAATACGTTTCGAACAGTTGCGAGGAGGCAATTTGCGAGTAGCAGAGCGCGCTCTGTGATCCTCCCCCCCCCCACCCAGGTCACGTCAAGAGTCGCGCCGGCGCCGTGTGGAACTTGTCCACTCCTGAGCACTCACGGACGCCGCCAGCGAGAACCGTGACGTGACCCGCCCCCTGGGCGCCCCCATCCCTCCCCACCCCCCGATCACGCCCCTTACCGCCGGTGAATACAGTCGGGGCCTTGACCTAAGGAACCCTAAATAAGGAACGAGGCCCCTTTTTTCCATAAGTTAAACCTCGATTTCCCATCGAAAACCTTGGGAAAACCTGAGGCAAGCTGTGAAACAATCAAGGAACACCGAGCCCCTCCCCAACGAAAAAGGTTCCTTCTTCAGCGCCCCGACTGTAAAAGAACGCTCTCCAACAACTTGGACGCGAGCCCTGGGGCCCTTTGCGGGTATCTTAGGACGAAGCCAAGACGAGGATAGGTTCGGGTGAAGATAGATCGAAAATCTCTGAGACCCGGCGGTTCTGGAGGATGTCTCGGGCGCCGCGGCTTTCTCAGAGCGTTCCGGAACGCTCTGAGCAGGTTCTGGAACGCTCTCGAATAGATGTTTCCTCGTCCTGGCCCCGTCCGACCTTGGGCCCTTGGTTCGGCGGTGGACAAACCTCCCTTTAGTAAACCTCCCCTTAGTGAAAACGGCCTGGGACCGAAACCGACGGAACTGCACCCGCAAAATGACGGCCGCGACGCCCTCTCGCGAACGGAAGACGGCCAATTCGCTAATCGACGTGTCAGGATAGGAGGTCGATCCACCCCCGAGCATCTGGAATCCGTCCCGAGTCCGGATTCTTGCGTGAGCAGGGAGCGCGACCACCCAGCTTCTGCCGACTCGGCCTCGGCCGCTGTGCGACGCAAAAGGTCGCTGGGCAAGTTAGGAACACCACGAGGGCCAGCCTAAGCCATCCCGAGTCCGGAAATGGGACTGGCAGCGCGACGCATCAGAGCTGGGAGCCCCTCCGACTCCAGAATATGGGATCCGGACATCAGAATCCAAAATGTTGGACTCGAGGGTCCAATCCGATCCAAAAACCGAACGTGACATCGGGAATCCGGAACGGCGGCGCGATGCAGCAGAGTCGGAAGCCCCTCCGAATTCGGAATCTGGCATTCGGAATCCAGAAATCTGGATTGGGGTCCAATCCGGCATCCGCACCAGGAATCTGGAACCTGGGTAAACAGCGCGATGCATCAAAGCCGAGAGCCTCTCCGAATCCAAAATCCGGAATCCGATATTCTGGATTCAAAATTTTGGACCAAAATCCTGAATTCTTGACTCGAAGATCCAATCCCGAATCTGAAATCTAGAATCGGGAAACGCGGCGCGGTGCATCAAAGCCAGGAGACCCTCCGAATCTGGAATCCGGAGTGCGCTGCATGACAGCAGGAAGCCCATCCTTCTAGACCAACTGATATTCTTCTACCTCCCCGAACATATCCTCCTCATCCTCCTGCTCCTCCTGCTCCTCCTCCTCCTCCTCCGCCTCCTCCTCCTCCTCCGCCTCCTCCTCCTCCACCTCCTCCTCCTCCTCTTCCTCATCCTCCTCCGCCTCCTCCTTCTCCTCCTCCTCCTTCTCCTCCTCCTTCCCCTTCTTCTCCTCCTCTTTTCCTCCTCATCATCCTCATCCTGCTCCTCCTCCTCCTCCTCCTTCTCCTCCTCCTACTCCTCCTCCTCCGCCTCCTCCTCTTCCCCCTCCTCTTCTTCATCCTCACCCCCCCTTGCCCTCACCATTCTCCTCTTGCTCCTTCTATACGTCCTCAATTTGTTCGTAACCGTCACCAGCATCATCAGGCGATGATGATAACGACGATGGTAACAATGTTGATCATAATGATTCATGTGATGCTGATGTGATGATCATGACGACGATGAAGATGCTGATGCTGATGCTGATGCTGATGCTGATGCTGGTGCTGATGCTGATGCTGATGCTGATGCTGATGCTGATGCTGATGCTGATGCTGATGCTGATGCTGATGCTGATGTTGATGCTGATGCTGCTGCTGATGCTGATGCGGATGCTGATGCGAATGCTGATGCTGATGATGAGGAGGAGGAGGCGGAGGATGCTGATGATGGTGATCCTGATGGTGGTGATGCTGATGGTGGTCATCCTCAATATCATCATCAGCAGCAGCTGCATCAGCATCAGGATCGCCAGCATCACCAACAACAGCATGACCATCGTGAACATCAGCACAACAACAACAATCATAATAAAACTGAACACTCTTATCTGATCGCATACCATTCAACACGTTCAGGATAACTCTCGATATTCGCCGTTTTTGTCTTAGATCATACCCCCTTGGGGGGTATGTTTTCCTTCCCTATCACGTGTATTTAGCGCAGCCCCTACAACAAGGGAAGAGACGGCAGATGCAAGGAGGAGGGACGGAGGAGGGACAAGGATGGAGCA